ATCTATTGCTTAAAATGTTAGAAACATTTGTACGATAGTACGATAGGCTTGATTAAAGATAGTCTTTGAGATTCTCTATCGAAAAAGTCTGATGGATTTTCTTGCTATGCTCAACCGTTTGCCAGGTAAGTACAGATGAAAATGTGCTTATAAATGATATAAAAAGCCGAAAATTCTCAAAGAAATTTGGAAGTTCTGAAGATTCTGGGCTTAAAAACTACGCGAGAAAGCATGACCGTAAATGCGTAAAACCGATTAATGCGTTGTTTTTTAGTAAAAATCTTTTAGTAGAAATTTGTTGAAAATTTAGAAAAAGTTGAACTTTGCAAAAAAATTTAAATTTTGGCATTTAAAATTAGTGGGCAAGGACAGCGAAATATTAAAGAAAAAATACAAATTAATGACTGAATATTTGCGTCGGAACAGGTTTTATGAACCGTTAAACTGCCTCAAAATGTCAACAGCTTAATGGAACATTTGACGAAACGCGAAAGCGATAAAATGCCACCATCATATATAAGGTGTTTCAGAGTTAAAAAATCTTCTTTCAACGCCATGAGTGAGATTTATTTTTCGCAAGCGAAGAAATCTTCCTGCACTCAGGCAAGAATGCAGAAATTCTAAATATCAGCGCAAAAAGTTCTTCAGTTTTTCCTAGAAGACACGAGAGTTTCGGGCATTCAAAGTTTCTCAAGAACCATTTAAGCCACACAATTGAGAATTGAAAAGTCGATTCAGTCGTAACAACGTGAGTGAGAAAATTCGAGTAGTTTTGACACAGAAAGTGAAATTTAAATATCAGATACTTAGGTGCAAGATTATGCCAAAATTCCCTGTTTTCCGTCCCGTTTTTGCTCATATCTCGGAGGCAAAATGAGCAAGAACGTTCATTTGCACATCATTCTAGACAAAAATAAATGGCCTTTTTAGAACGTGAACCATGAATTGTTGGCAGTTTTCTCAAAAAATGCTTGAATTCAAGAAGTTTTAGATTTGCGTGGTTTTTTTTTGAGTTGCAAAATCCACTTGAACATGGAGCTGCTTTTTTCGAAGTTTTTCAAGAACCATTCGATCCACAGAATTCGTTTTGGCATCGTTGGATAGAGAATTGAAAAGTCGATTCAGTCGTAACAACATGAGTGAGGAAATTCGAGTAGTTTTGACCCAG